GCATCCCCTGGCTCTGCTGTGCAGGAGGGCACTGCCACAGCATCCCCTGGCTCTGCTGGGCATGAGGGCACTGCCACAGCATCTCCTGGCTCTGCTGGGCAGCAGGGCAGTGCCACAGCATCTCCTGCAGCTGGTGGCTGTGAAGAGCTCCAGCTCTTCCTGCCTTCCCCTGGCTCTGCTGGGTAGGAGGGCAGTGCCACAGCATCCCCTGGCTCTGCTGGGCAGCAGGGCAGTGCCACAGCATCCCCCAGAGCTGGTGGCTGGAGCAGCAGCTCCCAGCTGCCCTCCCTTGGCTCTGCTGGCAGCAGGTTGGACTGTCCTTCAGTCTCTGCCCCAGGGGTTTGCAGGGTCTGGCCGTGCCCATCCTGGGCTCTCTTGCCCATCCTGCACACCCATCCCTGCTCCTCACCAGCCCAGCCACCCCTGCTTCTGCTTTGAAGATGCTCCTGCTTAGAAGAGAGGGGGGAAAAACCTCTGCAGAGTCGCTGTCCCTCTGCAAGGAGGGTCCTGACCTGCAGGGCCAGCTCTGCTTGAGGATGTTCACCTGCAGAGCAATCCTGGCACCTGCAGAGCAATCCTGGCACCTGCAGAGCAATCCTGGCACCTTCCCCTGCAGGCTGGCAGCTCTGGGTGCCCCTGGGGCTTGTCCTGAGTGCTGGGGGGCACAAAGGGTGGGCAGAGTGATGTGGTTGTGCCCTGTCTCCATTCAGAGCAGTCTGATTGTCCCCCTGGCTGTGACAATGTGTGTCCTGCCAGCTGCTGTCACACACAGGGCTTTGGAGATGGTTGATTTTCCTTGCCAGTTGTGCATTCATGAGCTCCAGTGTTCCCCAGTCTCTCATTGTTGTGGTTGCAGTCACACAGGGCCTGTTTTGTCACCCATTTTGTCACCCCTTTGTAAAACCCCAAATAAAAGGGTCCCAGCTCACAGCCTCACCCATGAGAAAGGTGCCTTTGGTTTGCCTTGAAGCACTAAAAAGAGTAGAATATGTGGTCCTTTAGCCTGGAATATGACAGATTTGTGTTGAAAATATATTATTTTTTTTGTTTTTTTCTACGCAAAACTATCATCACTTTTTTTTTAGTTTTATAAAGGGAAATTAAAGATTGCTCCCAGTTCATTTTGCTCTGCAATGAACAGATACAGAGATGTGTTTCTATTGAGACATTGGCTTAATAAGTCATATCATTTATGTATCTTCACTTTAAAGTTAGAAAAAAACCTTGTTTTTCTTGAGAAAACTTAAAAAAAAAAAAAGGGTAAATTTAGAGTTGTGTGTCCCAGCTGTGTGTAATTATCAGGCAATAATGTGTGTGATGTGTCTGATAATGGTTTATCAGTGTGTTCAGCCAAAATCTGTTTCCATCAGTTTCTTATCTAGGAAAATGTGAACTCCTTATGCAGAATTTCACTTCCTTATTTGTACCCATAGGTTGCACAGAAATGCACAGCTTTGGGTTTTTCCAGTTAAAATTTGAGCCCAAGCCCTACAGAAAGCTCTGAACATCCCAGGGAAGCACAGCCCTGGAAATGAGGGATTAAATGGATTAAAGCAAACTGCAGCTCCAGCACTGCCTGACAGGGGTAAAACTTGTCAGAAAATAACAAAAAAATCCCGTAATTCAGGTGTTGTGCTTATTTAGCCCCAGCCCTGCTGCTGGCTGGGAGCTCTGAGCTTTTGCCTTTATTTGGAGCAATTTGGGACTGAGAATTCTCTTGGCACTTCCCCATGCAGGTGTGAACACAAGTTGAGTGCATTTTTCCCAAATCCCACATTTCTTTGGTGTCTTTTTGCCAGTGGTGTTTCAGCCAAGTGTCACCTGCCCATCAGTCCAGCACATTCTTGTCACCTGGATTTAGGGAATTAGTGTGACCTGTGAGCAGCTTTGCTGTCTGCCTTGAATTTATTCTTTCACTTGGAGTTAATAGTCTGTGAAATAGTTCTGTGCTGTCTGTTTCAGATGTTTCCATATTTCCTCACATTTCAGATGGGAAAACTTTGGATTGGAAGCCAGATGAGCTCAGTTTGGTGCTGTTGTTTATCTTGGAGGAGCCCAGTGGATGGTGGCACTGGTTTTTTGTGCAGCTCCAGCAAGGACAGAGAAAGAATTTGGCTCATTTGATTAATTCCCTCTTTGGGTGGGATCTCTTTGGCCCTGTGACATCATGTGTTAAAATGGGGCAAAATTCCACCCCAAAACATCACTGTCCTCATGTCAGAAGTGTTTCAAAGTGTCCTAAAATGTCTGTAACTGCCAGAATAGGGAAAAAACAGGCAAAATTAAACCAGGGAATGCCCTGGGAACAGCAGATTTATTTGTGGCATTGGAAGCTCTTTGTTCAGCTGTTATCAGTGCCATTCCAAACCCCATCCATCCACACACCCAGCCTGTGCTCCCAGAGATAAACTGGATTTGGGGGGATTTGGGGTAAATCCAGCCCGTTTGGGTCCCCATTCCCAGGTGAGCTGGTTGGAGCTGCCTTGCAGTGATGGATCCAAAGCTTGGAGAACGCCTTCACTTGGTGCTGTTGTGTTTTTCTGTGGAGAGTTTCAGGTGTCTGGTTTCGTTTAGGTTCCCAAGAAATGTCCTTGTTTAAGAGTATCTCTGTTCAGCAAGTGAGATTTGTGGCACAGCCAACACGCAGAGCTGGGGCAGCAGGAGCAGAGGGTGTCAGCCTGAAGGTGACACATGTGGGACACTCCTCCTGCTGCAGCTCCTTTACACACTTGCCTTTCTTCCAGCACTTGGCTGCACTTGTAAAGGTGAGGGTTTTCCTTTCCCAGCTGGAAGTACTTCCAAAATAAAAATGGATTGGGTTGTTAAACTCTTGGTTGTTTTGCTGTGCTGGAAATGGGGATGGTTCTCAAAGCCTGGGCTGATTTTGGGGTGCACCAGGGTTTCAGGTGGTTGGGCTCGGGCAGAGCATGGGGGGCTCTGGTTGTGGGCATGGCCAGGACTCTCAGGATGCAGTATTTACATATTTTGAACCAAATTTGGGGGAATTTGGCAGTGTTTCAACACTGGGATCCGACTGCCCAGCTTTGGGCTAGCAGTGACCCCATGGCAGCTGTGTGCTCCTGGCATGGCACACTGTCCATCTGCAGGGCTGAATCACCTCCAGCCACTGGAAAATTCACCCCAGATGAAATAAAACAATTCAACAATTCATTTCTGTGCTTGGAGCTGTGCCCAAGGTGAGTTCGCTGGGTGGGTGCTGGAATGGGGCGAGGGGCAGTGGAATGGGGAGGGGTGTGACGGTGTTCACAGGGGTCTGAGGGTGAGGGAAGAGACGAGGATCTGACTCCATGTGTCAGAAGGCTGATTTCTTATTTTATAGTATCTATTGATTTGGTATTTTATAGTATCTATTTTATATTTTATAGTATCTATTGCCTTAAAACTATACTAAAAGAATAGAAGAAAAGGTTTCATCAGGAGACTAGCTAAGAGTAGAATAGTAAAGAATGATAACAAAGGTTTGTGGCTCAGCTCTCTGTCAGAGCCAGCTGACTGTGATTGGCCATTAATTAGAAACAACCAACATGAGAGCAATCAGAGATGCACCTGTTGCATTCCACAGCAGCAGATAATCAATGTTTGCATTTTGTTCCTGAGGCCTCCCAGCTTCTCAGGAGGAAGAATCCTAAGGAAAGGATTTTTTGTGAAAGATTTCTGTGACAGAGGTGGGACATGAAAGGGGCCCTGCAGGGATGGAGGGCACTGCCTGCTCCTGCCAGCTCTGGGCCATGAGGCAGAGGAGGAGCTGGGCACCTCCAGCCTCACGGCTCAGTGGAAGGTGCAGCAAAATAAAAGGAGTTTGTGCTCCCTGAGCTCCTCAGTGGAGAGGAAAGAACACCAAAGAAGTTTAATCTGAGCTTGGGGACAATTCCCAGCAGTTCATGCTCCTTTGCTTCTGATGGTGTGGAAGGGCAATCTGCCATGCATTTATTTTTTTTTTAGCTGTAAAATTAATTAGTTCCCTTATAATGCTTCTTTTAAGAGATGTGCAGAAAGTCCCTGATTTAACACGCTGAATTTCCCTTTGATAAGGGCTTCCCAGAGCTCTTGCTGTTCCATTTGCCTTTGCTTGGCTCTGTCCTCCTGCAAGGCTCTGGCTCCCTTCCCAGCCCCTCTCCTCCTCCTGGCAGATACACGGGCAGGTCCTGAGTCCCCTTCTCAGAAATCCTCTGGAGCATCTGCTTGGGGGATTTAACTGATCAGAAAAAACAGCAGCAGATATTAAAATATCAGTTTATTTTTCTTAATATATTTTATATTTATTATTATTTAAATATTAATTTTTATAAATTTTATATATAAATTATACAATTCTTTATTAAAATTATTAATTTTTATTAATTTTTATTAATTTTAATGATAAATAATAGTTATTAATGTTCATATCTGTAGATATCTTAATATAATTTTATTTTAAATTTTCTATATATTTTTATTTCTATTATCCTATTATTATTTTTTTTATTAATTTTTATACATTTCTAGATAGAGATTATATACATTTTATTAGAATTATTAATTTTTATTTATTTTAATACTAAATAATTATTAATATTAATATCTGCAGATATTTTAGTATAATTTTATTTTTAATTTTTAATATACTTTTATTATTCTATTATTTATTATTTTTATACCTTTTATATAAATAATATAATTTTATTTAAATTATTATTACTTTTTATTACGTTAATAATAAATTAATATTAATATTGATATCTGCAGATATTTTAATATAATTTCATTTTTAATTGTTATTTTTTTTTTT